TAGATGGACCCAGGGTAGCTGTTTTCCTCTGTTTCAGTCTTTATGCTAAGCTAACCACCTGCAGCCTCTCACTTCACATTTAGCATACAAATGTAAGCATGGTAGCCTATTGATCTTGTCATCTAACTCTCTTTTTCCAAAATGATGTTGTATTTCTTTAAGCATACAGTAATAATGTATTGTATGTAATGAAATGACATGAGACAGATGCTGTTGCATTTCTGAATAGTCACCAACCATCTATCAATGACATTATTAGTTCTAGTAGTAACCTCAGCAACAACAGAGAGATGACAGACCCTCTTGTTTAAAGTGGACATGTCATACTGAAATGACTGCTGACCCTGCTTATTTGTCATCAGAGCAATAGAGATGCATTTCTTTTAAAAAATCACGTTACATTGTGGCTGACTTCAACACCCTTGTCATATGTTTCCACTTTTGCTGTGATTGTATTCCTCTTCATTATTCATTCAAACAGAGTTGCAGCAGTGGCCAGCACTTGTAGCAAATGCCTTCCATGTGTCTCTAATTGCCTCAGTAGAGGTATTTAACACAAGGTGAAGTCATTAACACATGGACACACTGTCAGATGTGGAGCCAGGCGGCCCTGGGTGAAAGAGTAGACAACAGCACACTAAAGCTAATGCACCATCCATCGTACACAATGAGGAAATCTGAGGGGTTCATCGCCAGCATGCTGTGCATCAATTCTCAGGCAAAAATACCGTAATTTCAACATTTACATAGAGTGTAAAAGTCTTCATAGTTTTATACCATTATGCTAAGTATGGCTCCAGTGCTTCAGCGAGCTATACTTTTAGCCCCTCCCGAAAAATCCTGAACCTAAAACCTGTGAAAAAGAGTTTAACGGTCGAACTCCACAATCAAGTACTTCGGACTTTAACTAGATCAATGGATTTGGATGACAAATATTCAACTTCAAAATAAATATGAATGCATTAATACATTTACGAATACATTTTTAATTTGTTAAAATGTTACTTTAGACAATATATAAAATAACTTTGGGGTATCTTTCAAATGAAAACCCTTATGCCACTCTCAGGACAAACCTTGCAGTTTAGCTTAAGCAACATGTATTTATGAGTTCATCATCCAAACTTTGAAATATCAGATCCTTTAATTGAATCAAGAAAATGATGGTTTTCATACAGGAGCAGTGATATAATTTCAAAACACCTACACTTGATATACAGTATAGCCATATTAAACCATATACTTAAGTATGATCATACTTATTATCACTAAAAACAAGGACCCAGCTCTTTCTGTTTTCTCCATGCCTAAGTCAATAGCTCCATCTGCTGTTTAACTGAGAGCACTGCATCTATCCTGTGACAACAGACTCAGTGATGTGACAGTAATAAGAGGAATAAGACATTAGCTTTGTTTTTTGTACTGAAATGTCACAGGTGGCACAGGTGTGAATAATAAAGTTAATGATGGCTGAATTCCATTTAGCTGCTTCAGTTTTAGGGTGCTGGAATTGAGCATGGAGGCTCACTATCACACTGGCATAAATTTGGGACACTTGAATGGATCAGAGCCATCATTAATGTTATTAGTAACATCTGTGATTTTCACACTACTACTAGTTAAAATGTCTGCTGTGGAAAAAAAATATTTTATTTTTTATTTTTATTATATTATTTATTTATTTTTTGGACATTTGCTGACAATTCATGGAGGGAAATTATCCTGAACTACCCACACTCTAGTTTCAGGCAGCACTTCAGCACAATAGTAGATAAATTGATTTCAAATATGAGAACTTACCTTTGTTCAGAAACCGAGTTAATATGATAAACAAGTTATAATAGTGCTGTGTTCTGCTTCCAGCCTGAACCTATGGAAGACCATTACAGCCAGTAAAATAAAAAAATAAGATGAAACCTTGATAATAAAAATGTTCATGTCGTCATCTAAGGATAATTATGACTTTTTATTTTATAATTTTTACTTTTTATCTCAGAATTTTCACTTTCTATCTGATAATTATGACTTTTTATCTTCAGAATCAGAATTTTTACTTAAAATAAAAAATATATTATCAAGGCAAACTTTTCATTTTGTTTTTTATTTTATTGGTGGAAATGGGGTTCCATACTAGTCAGGCCAGTCCATCAATATTTACTTGCTAGTTCCCACAGGACCTAACTGGGTGAGACTTTCAAGAACTGCAATACAGACACAGGTCCCCCAGTTTTCGACTCCCGTCATAGCATACCATTTACCGCCTATAAACAAAATAATATAAGATATATGAAAACACTTGAATGAAGACTGTGATAATTAGTCATGTGACCCTGGTGTATTTATCACACCTGTGAGTGCTTGTGTAATGTTGCTACAGAAAAAAATGTCAACCTGAGGTTTTACAGTGCATTATGTGCCACTGTAAAACTACAACCTGTCATTTTTACACTTTGGTTTTTGTTCAGAGATTCAGAGATGCTGGCAGGCAGATTTTTTTCATCTTTGGACAAAACCAGGCAAGCTCCCACCAGCCTTCAGTCACACCAGTCTTTATGCTAAATTATACTAACTGTCTCATGGCCATAGCTTCATATTTCACAGACAAATATGAGAATTATATAATATATATATAATTATACACCTTGTCGTCTAAGAAAGCAAATAAGCAATTAATTTGAAAATAACATGATACTGTATCTTTTTCTAAAAACCTTGTAGAAAAACCTCTATTGGCTCCGAGCTCCATTATAGAGGTCACTGTACATCTTCAGTCATATGCACAGTCTGCTGTCGTCTGTCCTTAGCCATTAGGTAAAGCTCTGCACCAATCTACGTCAGAGGGCTTCCCTGTGAGTCTATCTGTGATCAGCACATGGTCAGTGTAAACAACTGAGGACATCCCACACCCACCAGCTGTCTCATATATGATCACGTGCCAGATGTCACGCACAAACACACATGTACAGAGGAACACGGATCACATACATCACAGGAAGACGCACAGCTAGTGGTGTAGCAGTGCCCGCCTGGAGAAGGGGGTATACTCTTAATTTACACCCCCAATTTGCCTGTCCGGCAAAGGATAAACGCCTTGTGTTTTAAAAAGTGACATGTAAGACTACTCTTGCATATTTAGCTCATCCTGAAAATGGGCCAGTAGTATTTGCACGTTGTCACTTCTGCTGCTTTACTTTAGGCAGTCAGGCAGTATAAGGATCACTATGACATTAACATTAGCCACAGGAGAGGTGCAGATTTTGCATAATTATTGGCCCACACAACTGCATAATTATGCATAATGAGCAAAGTATTGCTTCCTCCTTACTCCATCCAGGAAAATTGGACAACTGTCAAATCCAGCCCAATGCTGGCTGAAAGATAAGTAGGTGTATACCTGCGTACACCCTGCACTACAGCCAATGTGCTGTTCTTTACTGCACTTTAAGTAATGGCTTCCTCAGCATCTCATTTCCTTTGTTTAATTTAAATTTACACAAAGTTACACCATCCCAAAAGAAGGCACTCAACATATATTACACATTGTTTTCTTCCTGATATATACTAACCTGAAGTTAATCTCTAGCTTTTTATTAATAATACTTTCTCTAACTTTTTGCTCTTTTTTTTCCTAGATAAAGTTTAAAGTGTAGAATTGAATTTTAACAATAAAGGACATTATCCTGCATGAAATGTAGAAAAAAAAGTCCTGTTTTAGCAAATCCAATCATCATTTGATCTGCTGGTATCTTGCTGTTTACAGTGTTTATAGCTATAATCTATCCTGTGGTTTATCTGACAGTGTGGCTACTGCCTGATACAAGAGAGATCAGAAAAAGGCCCATTCGCTAAGGGGCCTTAAAACGTGAGTAATGGCCCCTAAGTGAGGGGATCATCATTCCTGTGTAACCGGCATGAATTTGATTAACAATGGGGCAGAGAGCGGGCTATTGATCAGCACGATGATCTTGAGAATTTGATCCCTTTTGTTCGACCTGATTAATTGGAGATCATCTCGGATTCGTCTTAAGGGAAGAATAAACATGTCATGCTGATTTCGGTGTTAACTCTCTGAGTCACTATCCAAACAGTAACGGAGAAGGGGAGTGGGGGGAGGGAGAAGGTTCGGGGGGACACGATGACCGACTGCGTTTAGGGGAAATGTGCGCATTAACAAGCAGCTTTTGAAAACGCGCCTCATTTGCGTCACGGCTCGGCTGTTCGTTTGCTCTCTTGCAACTGGCCTCATACTGATAACGGACAACTGGGCCGAGAAACACATGATGTGGAGCACCGGTGACAAAACATCATAATGGGGATAACTTTATTTGGTTGGCCCGCTAATTGGTCCCTATTATAAAAACCACTGTAATCATGCAGAGTCATACATAAAACATGCTTCCTATCCATAATGAGGGTGAATCCGTCATATTTATTATTAAATTAGTGAATTAAAACATAAATTATTACCATACCTGTATACCTTTAATTATGTATTCATTTTTTATCCCTCCAATAATGCAGGCACGATCCATATTCAGTATTAATAGGTTTTTATGAGGTCAAACGGGTCATTTCGACACACTATTTTATAGGCTAATCGTTTCTATGGTGACTCTTATCAGATGGATTTATCACGTTTTTAAGTGATCTTTAAACAACTTGCATTAAAGACTAAACCTTCCATATCCCTACAAACTCTCTCTCCCTGATAAAACTCTGTTTGGTTGAGCGGGTCAAATGTGAGCCAGATGGCCTCTAACCTACTGTAACCTGGACCTACAAATTAAGGCAAATTAGTCATTTATTTATTTGTATCTTTATGGCTGACTCTCGGGTCATTTTCACCTTTCCTTTGTGTTTTCTTTTCCACCATCATCAATCACGGCCCAATCATCTTCTGGTGTTAGCTGAATACAGGGGCAGCCTGTCATCAAAGGCAGCGGGTCGCTCTTATCACCCGCCGTCCCACAGGTGTTGAGCTCAGTCCACTCTCACTAAAAATGACAACAGGAGCTCTATGCCTCTGCCTCGTCCTAGCTCTCCAGCTGAGATGCGTCACCCCGCTCGCCATCCCGCAGGACGGGGGGACAGCAGGGCGGAAGGACGCTTTGGATGCGACGCATACGGCGAAGGAGAAGCTGGGCGCGCTGGTCCACATGAAGGATTTACCTCGGGGTCCAGTGGTGGCTCCTCACAAGAAGGCGCCTCAGTTTATGTTGGATCTTTTTAACGCGGTGTCAGTCTCCGAGGGGACCCCGAAAAGCCAGAAGGAGATTTTGGAAGGAAACATAGTGCGGAGTTTCGAGGACAAAGGTGAATATCAAACTGACATTTACGCACGAACTACGATTGTTTTGTGAGAATGTATGTTGGACAATATATTAGCTCGATTTAGGTCAACATTTTTACCTCACAGCATCATTAAATATTATGCATTAGAGCGCGTAATTATTATCCAAACGTACAATTACGCACGGTTACGCGCAGCCATCGTTCCTCTTAAACAGATCATTTAAAAAAACTTTGTTACAGTTCTTTAACAAACGATTATTTAAACATTTCACTAAAGATGTGTTTCATATTCTCCCGTTTGCAGGTCACGCCGGAGAGAGGTTTCACTTCTTCAATCTGTCGTCTTTCGGCAGAGACGAGAGAATGATCAAAGCGGAGTTCCGCTGGTTCAGAAAGAAACAGAAGTTTTACCTCGGAAAGTCTTATGGCCCTCATTTCTATAAGGTAAAATTCCTTCTGTCTGACATTACTTAATCTGTTCTCATGTAGATATGTCATTTTCATTAAGTCATAACTTGTGCAAAGTGCACCAGAGAGCATTATGAATATGAGTTGTTATTCTGAGCAGTCATCCTTCTTCAGTGTATGTAGATGTAAGACTTTGACTGAGGTTAGAAGGTTATGATGAGAAAAATGCCTTTCATGGACACAGTGATTTAACAGCTTCATGTTGTGTCTGTCCAGGTGGATCTGTATGAGGTGCTGGACAGCCGAGTGAAGCCATGGAGAGGAAACCTCATCACCTCCAGACTGGTGCCCCTTTACACACAGGGATGGGAAGTCTTCAATGTCACTCAAACGGTAACACCCTCCCTATTCTTTGTTTCATTTATTAAATGTTTTGTCTTTACACAGGCTGGTCATTTCATTGCCTTTGTGCATAAATGTATTTGAGCTGTGTTTCATTTGTGTGTAAAGTGTTTCTCAACTAATGTATTTAACATGTTCAATCTTGCTCTGAATGTCAGGTGTCAAAGTGGATCCGCAACAGCCAGGAGAATAATGGCATCCTTGTGGTGACCACACTTCCTTCTGGTAACTGGATGGAGTCAGTGACGGACATGAATGCCTACCTGGTTATATTCTCAGACGATGGGAGGACAGGAGCATCAAACCAGTCATACCTGGGTAAGGTGATGTTAGTCATCATGTATGGAACCACTAAATATTCAATATTATAATATAATAATATTGTAATTAGTCAAACTCATTATTATTTATTATTTTACTGGGAAGCATTTTCATTTACAAAAGTATGTTGTTGTTGGTTTTTTTTTCTTTATAACTCATTTCATGGCTAACTTAATTCCATAATGCCACTTTTTATTCCATAATACACTTATTATGCACACGATACCCTTTTTATATTTCCACTTTGCGTAAGTGTCACCGCCCCCCTCAGCTTTCAGCCAATCTTATACCCCTCCTCCTCTTAAACTAGCAAGCTCAACAACTGCTACCAACTTTAGCCAGTTAGCCCCTGTTAGCTAGAACAACAATGCTAACGTTATCCTGAATCAACTAACTGGCTGCTGCTTATAAAATAAATAAATAAAAAATATCAACACACCCATTTAGAGCTATTCAGCAACTATAAGTTCTATATAAGTATGTAATAAATGGTTTACATTTCATTCATTTTCTGTTTATACACCAGCCAACAGAAGGACTTATAACTGTTGGCAAGTCTAAAATGTAAAAGTGTGAAAGATGCCATTTTGTTTGAATTTAGCAAATTGAAATTGAATATTACCGGTGCCAAAAAGGGCCAAATATGAAATGCTTTTTATTTATGATGGCATTCTAACCTAATGTGATCATCTTCCTCTTTCCATAGGACAAGCCCAACCTGCAGCAGCAGCACCTGAGCCCCACGACCACCACAACAGGAGACGGCGTTCATCTCCAGGGTTATTTCCCCACGGGCGCACACAGTCCTGCCAGCGCGTTCCCCTCTTCGTTGACTTTGAGGAGATCGGCTGGTCTGGCTGGATCATCTCTCCCCGGGGGTACAACGCCTACCACTGCAAAGGCTCCTGCCCGTTCCCCCTGGGGGGGAACCTCAGAGCGACCAACCACGCCACGGTGCGCTCCATCATGCATGCGCTCAAGCTCTCTACCGATGATGTAGGAGCACCCTGCTGTGTTCCTGACAAACTCCAGTCCATAAGTTTGTTATACTTTGATGATGAGGAGAACGTGGTTTTGAAGCAGTATGATGACATGGTGGCATTAAGCTGTGGCTGTCACTGACAGTCTGTGCACCTCCTGCACTTTTTAACACTGGGACTATGAGGGATGGGGAGATGATGGTTTGCTTGAGTTGAATTAAAACACTATTTCCGTGCATATGTTTAAATATTGTATTATTTTGAGAAATAAAACAACTATTCCTGAACTATTAATGATTCTAAACCCTTTTAACAAAAGGATGCCCAAATAGATTTACCATAGACCTAATGATTCTTAGTTGAGATTAGTTTTTAGTCATTGATTAGTAATGCACTAGTTGTTAAGTTTAAACTGAAGTTTAATTATAACATATAGTACTTGGGGCACTGTAGACCCATATTAAGGTCTTTTAAAGGATCCTGGACCCTGATTTGGTGACACTGTCTATGGTAATTAGCCAGCCTTCCCTCTTGATGAAATCCTAATGTTTTGTTTTTTTTCAATTTAAAGCCTTAAAAGGCCCATTTTGCAAAACTGGGATGCCACAAGTTAAAGAGTGGTGAAAGGCAAAATTAAAAAAAAACATGAAATGATTTGAAATGCAAACAGTCAATGTGAATATAAATACAAATACTGTACATTTTTGACATAGGTTAAAAACATAGGTTTTCTTAATCTTATTACATTAACACTCAAAACTGCAGCAGCAGGATGGTGAATAAGAATAGGCCCTTGTGAACCACTATAATTCAAAATTCATCCAGACGGAAAGAATTGTCAAAAAAGATTCAGCATTTAAAGTTCTTACTTGTGTAGTTGCGCCAATTAGTAAATAAAAGCATACACAGGCTGATTTTCACTTTCTCATAATAATAACAATCGAAACAGTTCAATCATTATACATTTTTAAAAGCAGGTTTAGCAGTTTTCATTTTTTTAGGCATATGCTTTACATGAAGAATGACACTGCAGTGAAATTAATAATACTAGCACAATAAAAGTCTGTAACAACAGTTGTTCTTTTTATTGGAATGGATCACAGACACAATACAGCCCTGCTTTATTCTACTTTAGAAAAAATTCCAAATGCAACAAACTTGCAAAACCAATTCTTCTCTCTTCCTCTTCTCTGCATATTAAAAAAATATTAATTGCCATAATGCCAGTTAAAGCTTTTAGACAGTATATTAAATGTGTGTCGTATCAAAGACCTTCAATAGGCTAGCATGCAAATTTTTTTAATTTTAGTTGGATCAGTTGAAATCAGTAACCTACCATTTAAAGAAAATTTTTCAATGAATTCAATTTGTTTCAAGTACCTTGAAGGATAACTCAAGTGACTGCACAAGGTCTGGTGAAAAAAGAAATCTCAACGCAACAAACTGCAGTTAATAAAACACCACACAATACCTGAAATGCAGTGGAGACCCCAATACCACTGTAGATGTGTATAACAAACATCATTTACAATAAATAATCCACATTTACATTCAAACTTAACTCTCTCTGTTTACACTTAAATACAATATGTACATGGATTGTCCATGTTCCTTTCATCTTTCTCAAAAATATCTTACACAGATTTGTCAACCCAGCATTCGACAAAAATTCATTCATTCACAAATTAATTATCCCCGTCAGTTCACTCAAGTCAAACTTGTGTCTCTTCATAAAAGCGATCGAGGCCTCACAAAGCTTGCATAGCATCTGTGTCATGTAAGTTAAGCCAACAAAAGCAATACAAGGATCAGACACTTAAATGAAAAGCCTTGAAGGAGAAATCCACCCTGAAATACTTGAACACTGTTCAAAACAGTGTGTGCCTTGCATTTCTGGGTCCATCTTATTGCTCATGGTGTGTTTTTATTCTGTATATAACAGACCAAACATCACACTGAAATATCTCCATCACGTCTACAAGGGTATTAAAAATAAAAGATGTTTAAAAAATGGCTTCTTGCTGGAGTAGTTATCGTACCAGCATTCAAACAGGGAGAAATTCATCAATGAAACTTTTATAGCAAATGTAGGAAATCACTAACTAGAGTAAAAGTAGACTAGGTAACGTGAAGGTGGAAACAAAAACTTAGAACACTTGAACACAAAATAATCCCTGGAATGCAATGAACACCACAATTTGATGACACAAAACAGCATAAGCGGAGGGGGGATTTTTCCTTTCAAAGCTCATGGCCTATCAGCTCGGACAGTCCAGCTCCTCAGTGCCTAGAAACTCCCCTAACATGTGGTCATGTTGACCACAGACAGGCTCTAAATATTGATGTCTTTCCTTACAGTGCCTTTGCCTTGACCTCTCTAGTTGTCTCTGCTCAAACTCCTCTGGTGTCATATGAGTGGCTTGGATAGTAGCTTTCTGAGCCATGGGAGACAGAGGCACCGGGACAAAGCTGTGGTACACAACCATAGGTGGGGTCAAAACCTCCAAGGGGGATGCCTGAGGAACGGCACCCTCTGGCGGCTGGACTGGCAGCTGCACATAACTTCCTGTTTCAGGATCAAAGAAAGTTTTCGTCTTGACTTGTACGGGCATGTCAACAAAGAAGTACTGCCCAGAGTCTGGATCCTGGAGGAGCTTACGTTGGGTCATAGGAAAGGACTGCGTAACAATGGCATGTTCAATGCTAGACTGGCGAGAAAGCTGGCTGGTGTGGCTGGTGTGGCTTGACTGGCGGGACAAGGTTGAAGGGTGCGGCACGTCTGTGCTGTACGTATCAATACTGTGACTCCTTCTCAATGGGTTGTCTTTGCTCGCCTTGTCTCTGGTACGGCCTCTCTGCTGAAGTTCGTCCATGAGGGATTTCTCAATGCGTTGGGTCCTTGGATCAAGCTTCTCGTTGACTGACAAATCGGCACTGAGCCTGCGCTCCACTTTATCTCCTAAGTACCTGTCAATGCTTTGTGATCGGTGCAATGGCCTGTCCGATGTGGGTCTGTCGGTGACGTGAGCTTTGTACACAGGTACATTACTGATGATCCTATCGCTGCTGTAGTGTCTTTGCTCTGGCTTATCTCGAATATGTTTGTTGCTGCTGCGGCCTTGCCTTTCTGTTGCAACACTGGGTAGTGCTTCACTGTTCAGGTTATTGCTTTCCACCGAATCATGGCTCTGTCTCCTAGTCTTGTGGCCCCTGTCTGTTTTGTCTTGATGGTGGTTTTCACTGTTGTGGCCTCTTCTTTCGTAAAGTAGTTGCTCACTCCGATCGTCATTTTTACCATGGCTTTTACTCTGATTGTGACCATTTTCAATCTTTTCTCTGTGTTCCCGCTCTCTGCTTTTACTATTTCTACTGCTTTTGTGCTCAGATTTGTCACTTTTGTTTCTATCCACTCTGTGTTTGCTGCTGCTTTGAGATGACTTGTGGGAGGATTTCTGGGCCTCCTCCTTCTTCATCCTTCTATTTGCCAGCTTAATGGCTTTGAGAACAGCCTTTTCAGATTTGGGCAAGACTGCTGGGGGTTTGGGCAGCCCTGTTTGGCTTTCATTACCACTGCAAGTGGACCCAGACCGTTCACTGGGAACCTTTGATACTTCCCCCACATTCATTCCCAACTCATCAGCTGTGTCAGCTGTGCTGGTTGTTAGGCTCTCCACGCCTTCAGATGAAGGACTCACGCCAGAAAATCTGTCTTCCTCCTGTGGGACAGTTAGGAACACTCCAACCTGTGGTTTCTTTGGATTTTCACTTGGCAGATTTGAAAGAGACAGCAGCAGGGGAGGTGAACTGTTTGATGCAATCTCTTTAGGTTTGAAGATTTCATCTGGGATTGGTGTGCTACAGTGAGTGGCAGGTTCATTTGGCGGAGGAAGTTCTGGATTTTTCTTTACTTGATGTAACTCCTCATCTCCCCTCTCTGAACCACTCAGACTACATCTTGGTGACCAGGGATGTGCAGTCTTCTTCAACTTATTGCTGAAAGTGTTGTCTTTGACCTTAAATAAGGCTGGGATCCCCAAAGTTGGAGAGAAAGTGTTGGAGGGTGACATTGGTGTCTGATTATTTTCATCATGAGTTGAACTTTGATCTGCAGTGGCATTTTCTCTTTCTTTGTTGTCCTTGTACGGTACTTCAGTCTCTTTTTGAGGAGATTTTATTGGTTGCCTTACAACCTCCGGCTCACTTTCATGATCACTTAAAGAATAATATTCCACTTCCGTCCTGTCCAAATCCTGTTTTCTGCTTTCTGAAATATTCTGCATCACCTCATCAGCCTCCTCCACCTCGCCAATCAAGTTCTCCAGAGAGTGGTAAACGTTTGACTCGGTCTCAGTATTTCTGTGCAGTGCACTCTCCGCAGAGAAGTAGGATGATTTTGAGGACAAGCTGGCTTGATCAGGTGGGCTCTGATTGATGCTAACACCATTTACCAACAACAAAGGTGATATTATATTCCTGGGGATTTCATCAAGAGCTTCTGAATCCACATTTATTTCCTCACTAGCTCTGTTTATTTTGTCAGGTTCTTTTACCACTAAATTGTTTGTTACGTTGTCATCTGGTGTGTTTAAAAGGTCTGGTTTTAAAGGAGCCTTCCGCTTTACCTTGTATGTTTCCTGTGCCTTTGCATTGCTGTTTTCAAATGTGGCTCCCCTAGTGGGGCTACTATCTGCTTGCAAGTTATTTGCCTTATTTTCATTTTCTGTAGACTCATATATAACGGCATCGGTTTCAATAATGAATTTTGAACTTGTATTATTTACTACATCCCCCCTCTCTTTATCAGAACTGGTTTCGGTTTGACCTAGTACAACATTTTTTGTAGACAGGTCACTACCTAACTCATGTTTTTCTGAGCCTGTACTCCTCTCTCCTCTCATATCTTTGAAGTTTACCTCACCATTTTCACATTTTTCATCTTTGTTAAAGATATCCTCTTCTATTGCATCTTTTAAACTATCTGTCTCCATAGTAACACTTCCATCTCTTCTGTTCCCTCCCTTTTTGATCCTAGGAGGAACAGGAGGAACATCTCTCATTTTGCCTTCATCTTGGTTCATCAGATTTTCTCCACTCTCTTCAGACATCTGTCTCACCATGTGTCTCAAATTCACCTCTTCTGATTCATAGCTTGGATTATCAGTTAGTTTATCATTAACATGTTTAGCTTTAGGTTTTATGAGTGGGTTTAACTCATTGCCAGTATTTTCCATACAAGGTATCACCATCCTACCACCTGATACAAGAGTCTCACCAAGTCTAGGTTCAGTTTGCGACAGGATCTGTCTC